TAATTACGAAGGAAGCGTTGTTTCTATACAATGATAAAAAGTTTTATTTATTAGAAATATTATAATCTTTTTATCATTGATGAATGTATAAATATCTTACGTTTTCGTTATACAAAAGCAGCATTTTCACTCGTTGGCACTCGTGAAATTATATGAGGAATAAACTACATGTTAAAAATAGGTTACTTATAAAAAGTAGAAAAATCTCTTCCCCCCCCCCTCTCTCTCTCTCTCTCTCTCCCTTCTCTAATATCATGTACGAGTATTCTCGTATAATTGTTACGATGCGATATTTCTGCTCTGTTAACAATTGTGTTTATCAACTCAATAAGCAATATCTGCATTATAGTGTGTGTGCGCGTATGTAGACATTTTCGACACATCACACAATAGAGTATTTACATTTCACGTATCTACATGACAGTTATTAACTTTACTGAAAAATGTACTGTATTGGTACCCACAGTATATAGATACGCAAAATTAAAAAAATCGTTTCATTTCTACTTCGACTGACTTTTTAAAAATAAATTTTATCATTATACGTCTGCGAAGTAATTATTGAATTGCAATATGATTTAAATTTTACACATTAAACCACAAATTTTCGGGCGTATTTTATAATATAAATAAATAAAATGAAAGATCTCTCCCCCAACAGAAGTAATTAATTATAGTTTTCAATTTTAATATTTCATGGTGCTGAATTTTATGATTCATAATTATTTTTACGAGTACTCTTTTCATTTTTGTAGAACGCAGGTATATGTAGCTGATATGGAACAATTAATTATTTAGTAATGAATTGTGATGTTTCATAGGACGTATAGCTTTAAAGACATTTTTTTAGTCCGACACAAGTGCCACTACGTATCATTATTATTTAAATTTATAACTCTTGTGTCGTAACGTTAGAATAAACTGATGATACGTTCAGCTACGTTTCGCCAAAATGATTAACGGTCGAGATAATAAAAATACTACATTTAAAATGACATGGCAATTTGTGTCAATTGATATGAAAATTGCAGCAAATCACTGAGCTAATTCTATTATTCGGTCCTAGGGTTCGTCACTCTTTAATTGCCACGTTTAGAAAATCATTTCCGCACCGTCGCTTCCGTTCGCGCCTGCAATATTAAAAACTTTACAAATTACCGTGGCTGAGATCCACAGTTAAATCCACCACCCTAGATCGTAGATTACAGCAATTGTGGCGGAGAGATAGGAACGAAAGAGTGCGCCCCGGTGGCGGCGGCGGCGGGCGAGGGTGGAAATACGAAGGAAGAAGAGTCTGGGCTGTTCGAAACACGAAAAGAATCCACGGGAGGAAACGCGCGGATCGTAGGGAGTCCAAATACACGGCGGGAGAAAACATAGGGCCACGTTTCGCCATACAATACACACGTACGTGCGCGCGCGATGTTACGCGTGTGTGTGTGTGTGTGGCACGTTTTCCTCGGGCTACAGTCGTGCCGCTTTCACGCACATATTCACACATGTGCGCGCACACATGCGCGCACACACACACACATACGTACACGTGGGCGCACGCACACACCGCGCGTATGTACAACACGGGCACGTGTGCACGTACACACGTGCTATCCACACGTGCCCACGCGGGCCACACCGACGCATAGATTGCATACTTATGTCGGCACTGTGCACATAAAGTTAGGGGGGCGCGCGCTCTCCTTCGCTGCCGCACAAGAATAAGAAACACGGTAGCATACATAAACAAGAAGGTTGGGGATGCAGCAATTTAAAACGTACCCCGGAATTCCTCCCAGCGGAGTCGTAGAGCGGCCCTCCGTATTACGAATTCCTCCCCGCCCTGCCGGTGTCCTCCTGCATCTTACTGGGAATTTCGGTCGTATAAAGTGGTACTATGGGCGCGAGAAGCCGTGTATTAGCGGATATATCTGTCCGACGATCGCTACCAGAGATCCCTCGATCGTGGATTTCGATGACGTGTAATGGGTCGTACGGGAGAGAAAGAGAGAGAGAGAGAGAGAGAGAGAGAGAGTTTCTTTCGCGCGGATGCAGTGTTCGCGAATGCGATTTCGAGTAAACTTACATATATATAATTTTTTTATGGAAAAACGCCGGGACCATCGTGATTGATCGCAAGTAGAATCTGTTCAGGTAACGGCGATGTGAACGAGGGTGTCGACAGATTTGGGTCGCTTATCCATCTGTATGATTCGTTCGCGTCGAGAAACCACATGCTTGTAACATAAGGTCAGATGTAACGTTGTTTAACAGAATCGTAAGAAATGTGCATATGTTTCTTGGTAAAATTTTTACGCGAGGCCTTATAAATATTCATAAATAACGCACAAAGTAGCGCGGCGCCGTACACGTGGGACTAAACGTATCGCAGCGTGGCGTTCACACGGTACGTGGAATGCAACAGTACTGAAAAAACGAGAAACGCAATACCCCGTAGAGATATTACATGTGCTTATTATGCACGGAACGTACGATTTTTAAGCAACTTCGGTCTTCAAACAGTTGCCCCAGTCTTGTGCGGCGCGATCAATTGTACCCCCGCAAGTATCACGGGGACCCAAAACTTTGCTCCCTAAATTTGCACTAGATATAATTCAAGTGACAAACGCGAAAAAATGAATGCGTACCTTCTAAGAGTCAATCAGTGGACTTTCATTGAAAACAGTGAATAGTCACTGATTTACAGTTACAGCTATTGTACTTATAACTGCAATTTAGTGAGTATTCACTGTTTTCAGTGACAATTGGATCGACTTTTAGAGACTAATACTAAAAGTTATCGGCAAATCCAGAGTTTCGTCTCTCTTTCATTATTTATCGAAGCAAAGTAGTTTGCGTCAGATTAAAAATATGGAAAGAAACGGCTTTCAAGTCCACAATGATATTCCATTATAAATGTTTCCTGTCACTCCCGAAACAATCTGCCGACGTATCAGCGACGCGACGCAGGGGGTAGGTGGGCCTTAATCATGGCGCGCCGGCGTAACTTAACCGAACAATACCGGGGCACACGAATCCTTTCACGTATTACCTATTATAGAGATCAGCGCCGGCATCAGCGCGGATAAGTCAAATAACATTAACAATGGAGAATTTCAAGTTACTTCGGCGTTGTGAATCGAGCGATTGAGTGTTTGAACGGCGGTGTCGCCTCGGGCGGCTGTGTTTGCAGATATAAGGGACTCGGGCCGGGGTCTCAGCGAGTTGGGGGAGTTCAATTGGTGGCAGCAATCCTAGTAATGTACCCGTGGGGCCGTGTCAAAGTGCTCTCTGCAAGAGCACGACGTTGCATTCTGCATTCTACACCTTCATTCTTAGGAGGGAAGGCACGGGCGGGAGGGAATAGGTAGACGGAGGATGGAAGGCGGTACGGGCGAAGATAGGAAACGGCGATTCCTATTGGAATCCACTTGTCCTTCATCTTTCGACTTATCGATAAGATAACAAAGATACCTGCGGGAAATGAATAATTTAAGAGAGTTGACAAATCGTGAATATTTGAGCGGCGGAAGAGAAAATTCAGGGGGGGAGGCGGGCAGGGTCACGTGGAAACGAGGCTTCTCGGATACGAGCAGCTGTAAAATGTGTCACGGGATATACGTATTGTTTGTACGGACAACTATACGCGAATCGAGGGCGATACAGGTCTTGTGGGGTGTCTCGCGAATAATTCATATAAAGGTGTTACTTGGTAAAAATATTAGAAAGAAGGAGAGAGAGAGAGAGATAGAGACAAAGAGGACGGGCAGAAAGACAGAGAGGATGTGGATCGGTTTTCATACAGAAGAAAAAAGAGATTGTATCTCGTTTACATAGAAATCATTCGGCTTGTATAGAAGTGATCGATATTGCCGCATCAGTATGCATAATTTGATCTACTGAAATATCCCCCAGAAGTTCCACATCGCATACCGTAGTATTCGATCGAGCGCGAATACGGGCCTCTCTCCTCGTATAATCCGGCGAGGACTGTTGTAAAGGTGGAAGACGCGCAATCTCTGCAACAGCCGTTTTCTTATTCCGCGGAGAGATTACTCGCCGCGGTTAATGGCGCCGCGCGAAATCCGGCGATTTAATTGAATGTAGGTAGCGACGACCGCTGGCATACATTTTAATTCTGCAGACGCGCGGCGACGAATAGGCCTTCAGTCTTTTCGCACCTCCGCGCCCCGGCGACTACGCTTTAAAAACCGACGGCTAAATAATGTATATCACAGCGGCGAGAGCGGGCGGTAAAACAGTTATAAAAACACCGGCAAGTACGTTAGGATCAATTATTTAGGATGTACAGCTCCGTAAAGAGAGAGTAGACCAGTCGTAAAGGGGGCGGAAGAAAGTAGCGCTCCTTGGACGGGTTTGACGGGAGAAGGGAGAGGCGGAAGCTACCACGGGAGTTATAAAGGTTGCAGTTAAAAGTTCCTTGAATTATCAAGGGATTGACTAGCCAGCGACATAGTTGACGGCTTATTTTAAAATGACACGCTGAAATTTCAATTCCGCGTTATTCGCCGCGGTCGAAAATAAATCCCGCCCCTAGTTGCTCGTGATTGGATGCTTCCCGTTCTCTTGAACACAACTGTTTTCTAAATAATACGTCGATTTATCATATGTTGCGGAACACCGGACTGCTCTTTTTTTACATCTGGCGTGGTTAAGACGAGGCAAAAAAAAGTAAGTTTAAAAGATGAGAGAGAGAGAGAGAGAGAGAGAAATTAAGTGATCGATTTTATTGAACAGAATAAAAGGACCGATAACAGTTTATATAACATGCGTATTCTTTTATTCGCTAGAAGGAACTTTGTGTGATCAGCTGGGTATTGTGAAAAATTACATAGGCATCCTTTTTTTTATGTAATTTAATGAAATGAAGAGAGGGTGATTACAATAGATGATAAATTACTGATATGAGAGAGCGAATAAAGATTAGTGGTTAAGAAACATTCGATGTTCCACAGTTCAAAAATATAAAGCAAAGCCTATAGTTCGTTTATCTTTATTTATTATTTACGGTGTTATATGCATAATTAAATATATCATATCTTTTTCCACTTTGACGATTTCGCTGTAGTATCCCAGACAGCACGCATGTCCAAAAGACGTCTTGAAGACCTCATAACGACGACTCTCCTTTTTTTCTGACATTTTTTAAATGTCATAAAAATAAAAGACGCGCGTTTGTGTCGTTATTAGACAACTTTACGACCCAATTACTTTCTCCGCGATTTTCGCACTCGAATGTCAATGCCTTGAGATCAGCCGAAGTAATGAAAAAGTTTGTCGTCGTTGGATCGAAGTTACCGTTCATGAATATCTGTATATTATTAGAGAGCACGTATAATTTTCGAGACTTATCATCGATAACTATATCCTGAGGAAATACTAATGTCCTGTTGTCCTGTGCCACCAATTCTGCAAACAAAAATTACGCATGATTTTGAAAATACGGATTTATAAACATTCGAATGGATTGCAATTATTTATTATTTATTTAATTTCATTAAGACATTTTTAAGCGTATGAACTTATAAAAGCTAACGAAGCTGACGGGGCATTTCAACGCGGAAAATATATAGGCATTGCCATTTGTGGACTTTAGAGACATCTCTGATGGAATATATGAACTACAATGTAGATCATTCCAATGTTACAAAGTCGAATGATACGAATCGTGAAAAATTTTGCTAAATATATTTTATTAATGATTTTCAAAACTTAGTTAAGAGACAAATGATCAATATCATTAATTAGTTTCAATAATTTAATCTTACAAGATCTTTCCTCATGTAGAAGAGTATTAGCAATTTGATAAAAAATCAAATAGAAAGTTAATATAATGATGACGTATTAAAAATACTAAATATATCTATTAATAAATGCAAATAGTTGATAATTTTATCAATAGAATACTTATACTTACTGAATGTCTCCGGATTTAAATCCTCCGTAGTATCCCAACACGCGATACCATTTCTGTTTACTTGAGTAAAATAGTTGATGCATGTCTTCGGGTCAATAATAGAAGATGGTCCTTGAGTCAATGGTCCCTTGGTACCAACAATGTGGAAATTACTGTAGACCCCTGATTTGTTCAACGTATCGTCCTGCAGAATATCCGTAGATACAGAAAATTCCGTAATACCAGACATGGAATGGAAATAGAGCGTTCTACTTCCATTAGCATGAATCGGTGACAATGACATTCCAAAAACGCCATCAGTCCATTGGAAGTTATAGCCGTTAATATTGTAATCACCTGCCAATAATTACCAAAATCAGTCAAGCTTGTCACAAGACAATAAAATAGATTTTAATAAATAAAAAGACTTTTATCCTTGAAAGTAGCTCGATTTGTTCTTCTATCAATAGCTTAAAGTATTCTAGCTACGTGTACAACACAATATAGAATTTTCCTTTGACATTACCGTTCAACGGATCGAAATGGAAAAAGTTATGACTAATCCGCCAAGAATCGTTCTTTTCCCAGCTGTACACCACTATGCCATATGCGCCCAAGTCACTCATATACGCGTATGCTTTGTCGCATTGTCCGGGTGCTACGTCGACCACAAGATCGGCAATGAAAGTGTCCGGCTTTATATCCGTATTCTTCAAGGGATATCTACGTATAATCTGCAACACATACAGATGGAATAAATGGGATAACGTGCGATACAAATTTGAGACGTATAGAAACGTATTTATAGAATTTCTTATTAGAGTGTTTGCAGAACGATTTATCGAATTAATATCGATTGTAGGCATCTCCATCATTTTTGATAAACGATACCTTGTTCGTGTTTAAATCGATAACAGTGAGTCTCATCGGTCGCACAACTTCGCCGTCCCCCAAAATATCGTTTACTCCTGTATCAAGACCCCACATACGATCGCATTGGTCGATCCTGAGACGGAATATGCTTACGATGCCATCGGGTGAATTAATGTTATTTGCCTCAAAATTAGGATATGGTGTGAGGACTGGGCTGTCTATATAAATAATAAAAAATGATCTCTTTATCATATGACAAGGGTATTTTGGAAGATTTTTGGCTAAGTATACCCGTAAAATTTACATCATTCTCGCGCATTATGTTGGTACGTTATGAAATCTGTGCAACATAAAGCAAGTGTACATTATAGTCGTATGTATTTCAGCAAACTTGGTTTAGCTATATTCACTTACCCTTGTCATCGTCCATTGAAAAGCTATTTATATTAGATAAAACACCTTTCTTCCACCGCGGTACCGTGACGAACATTTTTTTGTGCCAAACAGCCAAACCTAATGGCATGTTATTTTCCGGGATATAATCGCCGGAAGCTATGTACTTGTTTCGGATGGTGTCATTTGGAAATTGGAATTCAACCTGCTGCCACGAATAAATGGTATCAAAGGTGTGGCTCGTTGCTATGGCCAGGCAGGCCAGGAACAATAGGTAGAACATATCTGCAAAAAAAATCAATCCTCGTACAAGTGACGATTATTGCGAACGATTGTAACCTTTAGTTGATATAATGTAGACTAAAATATGGAAATATCTGCAAGCAGTATATAATATCTAACTAATAAAAGAATATTCCAAGTCGTAAAATGTAAAGTCGAACTGTAAAATGGAACGACTGTAAAGTCACAATATCGTTCCAATATCGTTGCCGCGGACTCATCTAACGTAGCTAATGTAACCGTTGACTGCTTTGTTAAATTGTATTTAAGAGTCTGACTGAGGAAGACCCGAAGAAGGGTCGAAACGTTTTATATTAAAGAGAAATTCTTTCTACATGTATTGTGAGAACCGAGTTCCGTTCATTTTGTGGCTCACATTGGCACTTCTCCTTCCTATACATATATTTTAATAAAAGAATGATAATAAATACCATAAAGGTGTTTCAATTATTGAAAATTTTTGTGTATTTAAATTTT